GTGTGGACAGAGTACTGGTGAGTGTTAGACTGGTACAGTCTAACTTTTCTTCTTCTGCTCAGGTTGAACAAATTGGTCTTCTTGGCCCTCAGGCTCTCTGGATATTTTACTGCTGGGGAGGCATGAGAGTTTGTCTAGGCCACCGAAGTCTGGGCCCTTGTCACATGCCCCATCGGGTGGGTTTGAAAAACAGGGCAGTGCTGCCGGTCCTCTCTGCCTCTCTGGTTTTGGCTTATTTTGAGGTAGGGACTGAAACATATTCCTTTGACAACTCTGTGTTAGCTAACGTGCTTTGCCTATATTGCTTATCCATGGCTGGTGACTGATGGCCTTGGACCTGGAAGTCAGATTAGCTGACCCTGGAGCCCTTGTTTTCTTTTGCTTAACCACTCCTAGGTCGTAGATTGGATTTACAGGGTGTTTTCATTCTGGTTCTGCCACTGATGACTAAGTGAACTTAGGTCGCTACCTTCCTTTCTGTTGGCCTCAGGGTTATATATATATATATATATATATACACACACACACACATTGTCGGGGCAGGGGGTGAGGGGAAGGTGGGGTCACAGTAAATGAGTTGTTTTCAGATTTTTTAGCAGGGAAATTTCCTTCTCAAATGAACCTGAAAGGATTTTAATTTACAAAACAGCTACAGGGGTTGTGAAAGTGGCTGAAATTAGGGTAGGGCAGGGAGACCCTAACCGGTCAATTCTTGAGCCCCCAGCAGCCCCTAGACAATGACATGAAACCCTTCCTTGGCTCTGTGCAGGTACTTTGCAAACTACTGGTCTGGGGCATGTCAAAGCTCCCTTCTAATTTGGAGGTTCCGTGACTCTGGCAGGGTGAGGGTGTGGAGAGGGAGCCCAGCCAATGAAGTTAACACAGATGAGGAAATTGCGAAGTAATATATAAATGTCATTGTAGCCTTATTAGTAAGGCATAACTGCCAGGGATATGATGTTGTCACGCTAGAATCCTCTGGTTTTTATTTTTGATTAGATGTGAGGAACTCTTTGGGGTGTGTGTGTGTGTGTGTGTGTGTGTGTGTCTGTCTAAAGCGCAGGGGCTGTGGGGGATGGGGTGGGGCTGAGCCAGGCTGGGGCAGGTAGAATAAATGCCAAAGAGCGGGAGAAGCATGTTGCTCCTGCGTGTGGTGGGGGTAGAGGGTGGCTTCAGCTCCAGTTAAAAGTAGCAATTTGGCTCCTTCCTGCCGGTGCATGGGCCCCACGGAGATCTCCGGACAGGAAGCACTGGGAACAAGGAATCCTCTGTCCACAGCCACAGCTAAGCTAGGACAGAAGAGGTGGATTAGGAGTTCCTGGGAGGGGGCCTGCTGATCTGTCCCCGACATTTGGGCAAGTTCGAGGAGAAGGGGGGCTAAGTGTATGTGTACGCGGAGTGGGGGTGTGGTCAGAGGAGGTAGAAGTTGGTTCATACATTTATTCCACAAGTTCCTCAAGCTTCCAGAAGCCCTCTAAGAAGCCAAGAGACTCTGTAGGGGTCAGAGTCAAGGAAGATGAGACTCTAGGTATTAACCACCATCAGTTTACTGGAGGAGACAGGAAATGTGAGAGACAGATTTTCACAGACAGCCTGGGACCCTGGAAGTCATCTGGACTACAAGTCCAGAGTCCCACATTCAAGTCCTTGCTCTGACACTGACTTGCTCTGTGGCCTTGGCCTCATCACTTCCCCTTCCTATGCCTTAGTTTCCTCTTCTGTAGAATGGGGATAGACACATCAGCCCTGACTACTTCTTAAAGTCTCAAGTATCCATTAGAATAGGGTATTTCAAATCTTTTGGGACAGAAGAATCCCAGTAGGAAGCATTTGTAACAGAACTGCTGTGGTTGAACTGACAGCAGTTTACTCAGGATCTCGCTGGCTCTTTACTGCCCTTTGTTCCATGAATGTTTTTGGAGGCGCCTCTGCAGATTCCCAGGGCTCTAGGAAGCAGTGTTTGAAGACCACTGGGTCAGGATCATTCTTGAGAACATGCTTTGTCTCTTGCAGCCCAGATGATAGGGATTGCGTCGGAATGCACAAGAGCCATTATAATGCAGGCTTCTGCCTGGTCTTGCCTATGGCCAGCAATGACCTTATCTCGGTTTTAGGGCCTGTACGATTAGGTATAGCTTTTTCAGAAACAAGTGACAAAAAGTCAACTCAAAGTGGCTTAAACCGGAAACAGATCTTAATAGCTCCTGGAACAGTTATTGAGATTGAAAGATGAGGAATCAAGGTGACTCTCCATCTCTCCCATCCCTGCTTGTCTCTCCTCTATGCCTGTATGAGGAACTGGCTATTTACTGCCCCAGCTTAGCAGCCCAGCAGAAAGAGGGAACTATTTTTCTGCTAGGATCTATATATCAATCTAAGGGAAAGACTGTGATTGGTTCAATCATTGTTGCTGTGGGGGATAGAGACATTCTGAGTGGCTAGTCCTGGGTCTTGTGCTTACCCATGTAACTAAGGGAGGAGCAGGGCTGTCACCAGAAGAAGGGGGAGTGAAAGGCTGCTGTGCAGACAGAACCACCAGAACACGTTAGGATGTTACTGGACTCTTGGATTATAGGAAGATGAACAACTCATAGGCCTGGAAGGAACCATAACTTCCCTCTTCAGTGATAGTAATACAAATACCAACAATGATGATAATAGGTAATGTTTATTGAATTATTTTCCCTGTGCTAAGCACGTTCTATTGCTTTGTGTATTAGTTCATTTAGTCCTCATGACAGTTCTTTGGGTAAGTACTATTACTATCTCCATTTTATAGGTGGGGAAACCAAGGCACAGCTAGTGAAAGTCACTCACTGAATAAGAGGAGGAGCTAGGGTTCAAGTCCCAGGAGTCTGGCTTCAGAGCCAATGCTCTGATCACTGTGACTGCTGCTTCTTGTTGGTAGTTCAAGTGGCTGTCTTGCATGCTGCTCCGTGACACGGAGATCACTACCTGCAGAGCCAGCCCAAGCCCAGGTTACACTGTTCTGCCTGTTGGAAGGGGCTTCTTTTTATAAAAAAATTTATTTTATTAGTTTCAAGTATACAGTACATTGGTTAGACATTTATATAGTTTATAAAACGATCCCCCTAATTGCTCTTTCTCTCCTCTGGCTCTCCACCTAGCCGATACGTTAATGCTAACTACATTCCCTATGCAGTGCCCCACATTCCCATGACCATATATCATCTACTAATTTATACTTCTTTAACCCTTCACCCCTTCTCCTAGCCCCCCCAATCTCTCTCCCCTCTGTCCGTCACCTCTGTATTTGTGAGTCTGTTTTTGATTAGTTTGTTCTTTTCGTTTCTTATGGGAAGGGTTTCTTTATGTTGCACGTATATCTGTCTCCATATAAACCCATCCATCCAGTGTGTATCTTTGTGGTCAGTGTTTCAGGAAATACAAAGAAAAGTCATCCATGAACCTGCCTGAAAGGTCAGCATAACAAATAAGTCACACATTACTGAGCTCTCCCTTTGTGCCAGGCTCCCTTAATGTGCATTATCTCATTTAACGGCAACAACTACTCTGTGCCAGGCTCTGAGCTGAACCTTAATGTGCATTATCTCATTTAACGGCAACAACTGTGGACTAGGCACTATTGATTTTTGCCCCCATTTTCCAGAGGAAACTGCAGCTCAGAGAGGATAAGTGACTTACCTGTGGTCAGATAGCTAATAAGTGGCAAAGCTGGAGTTTGAGTTCAGGTCTGTCCGGCTCCAAAGCCTGTGCTAGAAACCACTGCAATCACCTGTGTCCCCCAGAGGGGAAATGGGTGCAGTTATGGCTGTGACACAGTCAACAGTGCAAACCACCATTGGAGAGGGACAGGAAAAGAGCAACTGTCATTCGAAGGAGAGAGCTCAGGGAAAGGGGTCAAGGAAGCATGGGTCACAGTGGAAAAAATGTGCTTCTGGGAGGAGGGGACATTTGATCTGGGCCTTAAAGGGGCTAGGATTTGGCATTCGATTCAGGAGGGCTCTCCTTGAGGAGGAAGTTGCCTGTGAAAAGGCATGGAAGGGAGAAGCAGAAGCAGTTCAGTTTGGCCAGGACTAAAGAGCTGGGTGTGGAGGGAGTATGGCTACTTGTCTTTCAGCTTCACAGAATGAATTTCTTCCTTCCATATTATTTAGAGATGTGAAGAGGTTTGATAGTCTCCAGCTGCACGTAGGTGCCTAGTTCCTTCACCTTTTCTCCCCCAATGTTGGGAGGGCAGGCCCCAGCTAAATGGAGAACAAGGGCACCTGGGCACCAACAGGTGTCAGTCCTCGTTCACCTCCTCCTGACGGTGAATGGGAGGAAAAGTTCCCCTGTGGTCCATGGCCCAGGGGTCAGCCCTTCCTCCGGACAGCATGGAGCTCAAGGAACCAGGATGGTTTCTAGCAGCCTTGGTGAGTCATAGGATTCTCCATCCATCTCTGGGAAGCAGGCTGAAGCGT